ACAGCCCACTTCTTCGGCATCCGAAGAAGTGGGCTGTAGCCCACGAAAGCTTATGCTCCAATAAATTTGTTAGTCTCTAAGGTGCCACAAGTACTCCTGTTCTTTTTGCGGATACAGACTAACACGGCTGCTACTCTGAAACCTTAGAAGATGATAGTTTATAAATTTTTTCTTTTTCCTTGGTACAGCACCAATAACCTTAATAGTACTGATGTTTCTGCTTCATTAAGAACAGTTTCTACCCTTTTATCACCTCACCTTTCCTCTGCCACCAGCAGAATATGTTACTGAAGAACAAATGGGCACTTCATTAACAGTGGGTAAAATTTTCAAAAGAACCCAAGTGACTTATGAGCCTAGGTTCCATTTTCAAAATGGTGCTTGGGAGGCTAAATCTCATTGAAGGTCATGAGATTAAAATGCCAAACTCACTTTTTAAAGTGGGATTTGGGGTATGCCAACACTGCAACCAACCAATCCACCCACCTGCCCCACAGCAGCAAGTCTCAGAGCCTGGATCAAGGGGCTTGAGCTACGGAGCTAAAAATAGCAGTGTAGACTTTCCCCCTGGAAAGCTCGAGCTCTGAGCCCCTCCCACCACTCACTGTGTCTCAGAGCTCAACTCCAGCTTGAGCATGAGCGTTTACACTGCTATTTTTAGCCCCGTAAGGAGAGCCTAGTCAGTTGACCCGGACTCTGAGACTCGCTGCCGTGGGGTTTTGGTTTTGTTTCTTTGTTTCCAGTGCAGATGTACCCTTAGGTACTTCTGAAAATGTTACCCATTTTCTCTTAAGTAGCCACATGAAGTAAACTTCTCTAAACCTGTACATACTGGTTCAACAGCGTTCTAGCAATTCTACAAGTGAGAAAAGAGTCTGTAGCCCATTTCCTATTTGTTAGTGAAATTCACTTCATCTCTGGAAAGCCCAAACAGGTTTTGTATGAGCAAAGTGTGTGAAACACTGGGGGGCAGAGTGGGCCGACAAACCTGCAGAAGTCCTTCCCTATCATTTGTGTGTAACTGCATTTCTGTAATCACAGATCTCAGGAAATCTCCCCAGGTTAGTTCCCATCTCCACCTTCTGCACCAGCCTATATGGGGTGAACAGGACTTCCCCCACAGCTTGCAGGATGTCTGTAGGCTGCTACCCAGTATACATGCTGGGTGCTATGCAGCTGCGTGGTGGTGCTTTATCAGTGAATAATCAACCCTAACGTTGAGACAGCACAGAGGGTCTTGGGGGACCTCCTCAACAGGGTGAGTTTCACCCATGTGCAGATGAAACGGGTTAGGACTAAGAGGACTAAGGGTTAGGACTAAGAGCTGCTAATTCACTTCTTGTTGGAACAAATGTTCAATAATTTCACCAACTTTTTTTCTTACTCAAGTTTAACTGGGAAAGAAAGACATGATTTTAGTTAACATAATTCACACTGTAAATAGTACAGTATGGCCATGTCACATTTTTTAATATTATTCAGATCTTAACATCTTTTAGGCTATGTTTACACTATGGACCTTAGAGCGGCACAGCTTTGCCGCTCTAAGGTCTCCCGTGTAGCCGCTCTATGCCGGTGGGAGAGAGCTCTCCTGCCGGCATAATTAAACCACCCCCAACGAGCGGTGGTAGCTATGTCGGTGGGATAGCCTCTCCTGCCAACATAGTGCTCTCCACACCAGCACTTTTGTCAGTGAAACTTACGTTGGTCAGGGGTGTGTTTTTTCACATCCCTGACCGACAAAAGTTTTGCCAACAAAAGTGTTAGTGTAGACAAAGCCAAACATTATATCACTCCTAAAACTGGCACTTGTTCGGTAACTACTGTCCTATAGTTTTTTATTTCTGCTTGTCTTACTGGGCACTTGAACACTGAGTTCCTGTAAACAAATGAAAATAAAATAAAATAAAATAAAAATACCCTCCTCCCCTCCCCCGCACACACACTTCTTTCATTCCTAATAGGCAAAATTTTAAGGTTCCAGAACTGTACGTTATTCAGCTCTAAGAGGACGAGTTATCTGCCAAGGTAGTTTTACTATTTACGGACTGAACAGATTGATTCCGATAGCTTATTTTGTACATAGCTTTGTAGTCACCTCATTCACAATAGTTATGCCCTTTGGAAATATGCTTTAAAATACTATTTATCACAACTGCATACATCATTCAGTAATAATTACTGGAGGAAGGGCCATAAAGCAGAACACTTTCTTCAACAATAGTTCACACAAGAAAAATTAGTTAGATCCTTGTAGAAATCAAAAGAGCTCAAGACATCTTTCCTATACATCAGTACATTGTCTTTAATTAGCATGCTGACAAATGTCTTAATGAAATGTGTTTTTAAGAAATGTATTCTCTGATTGTACAGAAATGGCATCTCCATACAGATTGCTGCACATTCAAAATACGTACAGCAGATGGAATTTATAACAAGCAGCAGCCAATACATTATGCTGTTTTATTAAAACAAGCAGGTGTGTTATGATAAAACTGTGATAAAAGTTCAGCAAACAGAGGGTCAGATTAGTCATTGCTTTAATCCAGGTTTACACCACTGTAACTCTGTTGCTTACACTGGAGTCATACTGGTGTACAACTGGAGTAACTCAATAGTGAATCAGACCCAGAATATTTTAAACATCATAGCATCAGTCAACAGATCACACAGTTTACAGACAATGATAATTCAACTCAGGTACTTCAAAACATCCCTGGGAATTGTGTGTATGTGTATAATTAGAATTCTGTCAGTGTAATCAACATTTACCATCATTTTAGTGCATAAAGAAAATAACTAAGCAGAAAAAACAATGCATTTGTAAATCAAGTTAAATGAGTTCCCCACCTTTAAACCTGCTATACCTGGTGGACCAGTATCCCCTTTTTCTCCCTGAAATGCAGATACATAGGTCATGTTAAATATCAAAATGCAGTACAACTACAGTGATTAAAAAAACCTTGCTTGTTTAGGATTAAAGTGCTCTCTTCAGCTCTGCATTACTACAACTTTATGGTGGTGTAACTCCACTTTCCTTACAGAGAGAATGGAAATATGTTGATTTCAACAAAGTTACACCAGTTTAAAATAGAAATAATGATTGATGATAATTAGACTTCACTGGCTTCTGGTGGAAAAAGAAGTTTTTCATAATAATCAATGATCTCATTATCCATAAAAACAGATTTTGGATACGTACTTATCAGCTGGAAATAGAACACTAGGGTCACTGTGGTAGATGACTGCACCTGTGCTATGAATTAAAGTCACATAATTGATCTGGGATGGATAGCTCTATCTAAAAATATGATGAGTTATGTTGTACTAAACTTATCACTTAGTTGGACATTAAACTCCATGTGATTTCTAGTTGGATTTCTAGAGCCTCCTGTCACTCAGAGTACATGAAAACTGCATTTTGCATCTGATTTCACATGGTAATGAAAATCCGTTTCATCTGTGAAAAGTGGGTGCAAAATCCTACAACTGACTCAGAATGGTGACACTGTACATCCACTTTATACCCACTTTGCACTGGAGTAAATTACTTCATGAGGTGCAAGGCAGTGGAAAAATCAGTCCCTTTCATTATCTGGGCAGGAATCACTGAAGAGCTGTCAACAAAAGGCTTGTTTTAAATAGGGGGGTAATAGTTGATGTGTTAAAATCCATAAAGTGATTCACAGGATTATGCCAGACTGAAAAACAGCAATCCAAGAGAAAATGGCTTATTGTCCATTTCTGCTGGCTACTGAGGGAAAGGTATGCCATGCAAAACTGGTTTGGGAGACAAATATAATAGACATGTGACCACCTATCCATCTAAGCACATCCCATTAGTATCTGAGGCCCAGATCCTCAAAGATATTTAGGTGCCTAACTCCATGGGAATTAGGTACCTAAATACCTTTGAGGATCTGGGCTTGAGTGCCTCACATATAAATGAATTTATCCTAACAACATCCTTGTGAGGCAACCAACTATTATCCCCATTTTACAGATGAGGAGGTGAGGCATAGATTAAGTAACTTGCCCAAGGTCACATAGGAAATCTGTGGCAGAGCTGGAAATATTGTAAATCCCATTCCAGTTCTTTCACCACAGACCATCCTATCTTTCTTCTGTTACTGTGGTTACAAGCGGTGGGTCTTTTGGAAGACAAGAAAGGCAGGTTTTTCTAGAAAGCACAGAGTCACTTCCTGGCACTCAGACACCCACACATTTTGGGAGCTATAACATGTAACCTTGAACTAACAAAGGACAAAGAGGGATTGCATTGAGTCAAAACACAATGGGATAAAACAATGGATTTCTCCTGCCATATTACAGCCAGTCCTTCCAACAAAAATCACCTATTATTGTCCATCTAGTGATATTATTCTAGCGTGTTTGCATTATGATTCCTCTCTTTCCTTATCCAAAAAGTGTCGCTTTAAGACATCCTGAACTGGATTTGTTGTGGTTGCTAGTCAAGATAAGCAAGGCTGGATGCTCTGACTGAAGAGTTCAGAGGAACCTCGTGTTCTTTCCTAAGTCCTATTCAGACTGACCTTACAGGGTCTGAGCATGATCTGGCCCTGAATATTCCAATTTGCCGAGGGGGTGAGCACTTGCAGCTTTCTCTGACTTCCATAGGAATTGTATGTGTGCAGCATCTCTGTAATCAGGCTACTTACGCAGGTGCCTAAATATAGACTTAGGTGCCTACCCATAGGCTCTCAAGTTAGAATGTCTTGGCCTTGGTGTTTATTTATTGAGATACTGTACAATATGTACCATATAACTAGGGCCCCTGGCTTTTACTGAAAACCTCCAAAAATTTCCTGGGTTTTGAAAAATTCAGTATTTGGATTTTTCAGCTGCTCAAACTCCCCAGACCTAGCTCCCCCCTCACTGACTCTCTGCTGGCCTCCTCAGCATGCCTGTGCAGAGGAGAACAACTGTCAGTTGGTGGCTATCTCAGCTGCACAGTGCAGGGATTGAGATGGGGAGGGGAAAGCTGTGCCCCTGAGAACTGGCCCCTCCTGATCCCAGCCTTTCAGCGTGGCCCCAGGACATACAGTCTTGTCCTCTTCCCCCCCCATCTTGCAGGTCACCCCTTTCCACTTATCTCCCTCCCCCCTACCAGGAACCCCCTCCCGCCCACCCACTGCCAGTGTATCAGGCAACCCCTCTTCCTCAATAGGCACCTGCTTCCCCAAGATGGCCCCAGTGAGTAGCTGGGCTTAGCGAGGAACCCCAGGGCACAGAGCTGGGTCCACTTCACCAGCTGGACAGAGTTCCCTCCTGTCCCTGGGCTGGGAACAGATCACACCAATCCCTCCATGGACCCAGGGAGTGAGCTGAGAAGTGCTGAGACTCTTTGAAAAAGCTGCTGTGAGTCTACACAAGTGTCAAGGCTGTATCCCCACTTTGAACTTTAGGGTACAAATGTAGGGGCCTGCATGAAAACTTCTAAGCTTAACTACCAGCTTAGCTCTGGTCCCGCTGCCACCATTCCCACTGGATTCCCTCCCTGGGAAGCCTTGAGAAACCTCTCACCAATTCCCTGGTGAATACAGATCCAAACTCCTTGGATCTTAAACAAGGAGAAATTGACCCTTCCCCCCTCCTTCCTTTCACCAACTCCTGGTGAATATAGATCCAAACCCCCTTGGATCTTAAAACAAGGAGAAATCAATCTGGTTCTTAAAAAGAAGGCTTTTAATTAAAGAAAAAGGTAAAAATCATCTCTGTAAAATCAGTATGGAAAATAACTTTACAGGGTAATCAAACTTAAAGAGCTCAGAGGACCCCCCTCTGTCTTAGGTTCAAAGTACAGCAAACAAAGATAAACACTCTGGTAAAAGGTACATTTACAAGTTGAGAAAACAAAGTAAAACTAAGACGCCTTGCCTGGCTTTTTTACTTACAAGTTTGAAATAAGAGAGACTTGTTTAGAAAGATGGGGAGAACCTGGATGGATGTCTGGTCCCTCTCAGTCCCAAGAGCGAACAACCCCTTAAACAAAGGGCACAAAACAAAAGCCTTTCCCCCCCCAAGTTTTGAAAGTATCTTGTCCTCTTATTGGTCCTTTGGGTCAGGTGTCAGCCAGGTTACCCGAGCTTCTTAACCCTTTACAGGTAAAAGGATTTGGAGTCTCTGTACACAGGAGAGCTGTTACCCTTCCCTTTATAGTTATGACAACAAGCCAGGACTTTTGGAATTCACACCGAAGACCTTATATCAAGTGTAACTGCTCAAGTCAACAGAAACTGTTTTGTAAAAAGAAGTTTTTTTGCAATGGGGATATAATGGTTTCATAAACAATAAACTTTTCTCTAAGGGCACGTCTACATGTGCAGCGCTGCAGCTGTGCCGATACAGCTGTGCTGCTACAGCATGTGTGGTGAAGACGCTCTATGCCGATAGGAGACAGCTCTCCCGTCTGTGCACACTAGCGCTTATGTCGGTGTAACTTATGTCGCTCATGGGAGTGGAATATTCACACTCCTGAGTGACACAAATGTTGCCAATATAAGTGGTAGTGTAGACATAGCCTAATTGTTGCTTTCTTTCTGCCCTCCCAACCCCCAATACTAAACCTGATATTTACCTGGAAAATCATGAGGTTAATTTTTTGCATTGATTTTCACCCGTTTTTAAATTCTTGAAATAAAAACTGATATATTCCCGGAAAATTAATAAATAAATAAAATTTGGAAATGAAAGGCCTTACAGATAGCATTTAAGTACATGTTTAGCTAAACACGCAGGGCAAAATACTGCTCTCACTACTCTGGTGTAAATACTGCTCTCACTACTCTGGAATAACGCCATTAAAGCAAACTCCAAAATTACATCCTTGCTACTGAACGAAAAGTTTGGTTCATGGTATTTAGGACATGTCAATGTTGTCCAGAAAGCATTTTTTTGGTTTGTTTTTTAAAAAGAGAAAGCTTTGGTGCAAAAGAACAAAAGCAAAAGTGACCTGAATTACTCTAAATATGGCAAACCAAAGTGGAAAATGCAAAATACAAAAATATGCTGGCTTTCAAATGTAGTTTGTTATATCAGTTACCTTTGGTCCCATTGGCCCACGCTGTCCAGTCTCCCCAACAGGACCCTACAAAGTATTCTGAGTTTACTGATATATCAATATATAATTTCATATTTATTTTTTCTCAGTAACAAACAAGCTCACAATCACAACCATAGAAAAGTCTTTTAGTAGCTGTATCAACAGAAAGAATTAAAATGCAAAATTTTGTTTTTTAGATATTTTGAAGTCTATCAGCTTAATATTTTCTTGTAATAGGCAGAGTATATAGTGATAGCTAGATTTAAGTTGCCCAAGTGTTTCCATTCTAAGGAGTTGCTTATCATTTCTTTTTCAATCACTTATGTAACTGGCTGAAATTCTGAAGGTAAGTTCTCAGCCTGGGAGCAATAATTTTGAAAAGTTTAAATCAAAATGATGTTGCCATTTTTAAAGATTGGGGAGAATAAAAATAAATATACTTTCCCCATTATAAAACACATCTTTGTGACTTTTCTTTTGAGCAGCCTGAGCCTGGAAGTGGTGTTAGATGGTAAAATGTAAAATTTGGCAGAAAGTGACAGTATTCCCTATCTTGCAGAAGTGACTTTTGGTGTTCTGGTGAAAACTGCTTGTGATTTGTCAACATTATAAACATTTAAAAAACCCTACTTTGTGCCTATGCACTGAATTTTTGTAATGCAACCACTTAAACTGCCATTGTTTGTTTGTTTTTTCTGTCTGTGAATGCTTAGGGCAGGTCTGCTCTTAAAATACCCCAGCAGCAGTGCATCTGCACCCCAATAGTGTTTCAGTGAAGACACTACCTACGCCAAGGGGAGGAGTTCTCCCGTCAGTGTAGGTAATCCACCTCCCCGAGAGGCGGTAGCTAGGTTGACAGGAGAATTCTCCCATAGACCTAGCGCTGTCTACACCATGGGTTAGGTTGGTTTAACTGTATTGCTCAAGGGTGTCCATTTTTCACACCCCTGAGCGATGTAGTTATATGACCTAATTTCCTAGTATAGACTTGGCCTAAGTTTAGGAAAGTTCCTAGGCAGTGTTGTTCCTATCTCTTGAGTTAGTGAGGTTGCACTGCCTTCTTCAGTGCAATAAGTATTGGTGCCAAAAGAGTGCTGCCTTATTCCATTTGAAAGAGGCCTGGGCTACACTAGAAAATTAAGTTGGTTTAACTACATCCCACAAGGGTGTGAAAAATCCACTCCCAGAGCAGCATAATTAAGTCAACCTAACTCCTAGTGTAGAAGGAAGAATTCTTCCATCGACCTCCACTTTGTGGAGAGCTGGATTAGCTACACTGAGCCCTGGTCTACACTACAGAATTACTTCAGTATAACTACATTACTCAGGGGTGTGAATAATCCACATCCTTGAGTGACGTAGTTATTCCGACCTACGTGCGGGTGTAGACAGCTCAGGAGAGCCTTTCCTGATGACATGGGAGAGCTCTCTCCCATCGGCTTAGAACAGGGATCTCAAACTCAGATCACCATGAGGGCCACTAGTACATTGGCCCGAGGGCCGCATCACTGACACCTTTCCATATAAAGGTACAAAAGCCCCCCCTCCGCCCACACCCCCACTCCACCCCTTTCATGAGGCCCTGCCCCTGCCCTGCCTCTTCCAACCCCTTCCCCAAAGTCCCCACCCCAACTCCGCCCCCTCCCTGCCCCTATTCCAACCCCTTCCCCAAATCCCTGCCCCTGCCCCACCTCTTCTCCTCCTCCTCCCCTTAGTGCGTGGCTCCCCGCTCCTCCCCCTCCCTCCTGGAAAGTGCTAAGTGGTGCGAAACAGCTGTTTGGGGGTGGGAAGCGCCTGGAGGTAGACAGAGGAGCAGGGATGTGGCGCGCTGGGGGCGGGGGCGGCGGGTGAGGAGAGCTTGGCAGCCGCAGGAAATAACTCCAGACCGGGGGGGGGGGGGCACGGGGTGCTTGGAGGGCTGCAGCAAAATAATTCCATGGGCCGCATGCGGCCCGCAGGCTGCGTTATTGAGACCTCTGGTTTAAAGCATCTTCATCAGAAGCACTACAGTGCAAGTGTAAGTGCTGATGCAAGTTTCTAATGTAGACCTGCCATGAGGGAAGAACCCCTCCCGTCGGCATAGGCAGTGCAGCTGTGCTGCTGTAGGATTTCAAGTGCAGATAAGCCCATAGAAAGGAGTCCATGAAATAAGGCAGGCGCACTTGTCTCACCAACTGCACATATTATGCATTATAGAGCTCTCCACTGATGTCTAGCAAATAGATAAACATAGCACAAAGTCTCTGTTGCTTCATTTTCCTTTGTAAAGAATGCACAAAATTAAATACAAAAGAATTCCAAGGTTGCAAAGTGAGACACGCAAAAGTCAGGAAATGATCAAGTTAAGATTGCCAGCACTGCCCTAACTCAGTTCCTGTGCATGTACGCATTACAATACAGTCCCGATCCACACTGGATCACCTACTGTCTCAAAAGACGTTCCTTCTGAATAGAACAGATTAAAATATGGTTATGTTTTCTTTAACCCAGATTTACAGACATATAGTAGGGAGTCAAACCCAAGGAGTTTTTGAGTAACACCTACTTCCAGCTGGTGACTGAATGACAATCAAAGCTCATGTTCTTATAAAAGGCTGCAGAACGTACTTGAGGTGGAGTGAAGTCTCACAGAGTCACATAGAATTTGGGGTAGTATCCTGAGACAGTTTGGAGAGAGAGGGTTCTCTGACTTAACATTTACAGATACAGCTACTTTTGTTAACGTTCTGAAAGCAGAGCTGCCCTTGCAGGTATAACCAGTGCAGTGCTGTGTTTCTGAGTCTGCAGACAGCCTGAAACAATGACTCAGAGGCATGAACTCCCCTGCCTCTTAATCTCAATGGGGTGTCAGCTCTACAGCCCAATGATGACACTTGGATGTCAACATTAACTGTCCCACTGTTGATCATTTGAGCAGATACAATGGAGAAGGGGTCAGAGTGAAGTAAGTGAAGTTGAATATGATAACAAGGCACTGAACAAATAATTAAATATAGGGCTGTCAAGTGATTAAAAATATTAATTGTGATTAATCGCACCGTTAAACAATAATAGAACACCATTTATTTAAATATTTTTGGATGTTTTCTACATTTTCAAATACAGTAACTCCTCGCTTAACGTTGTAGTTATGTTCCTGAAAATTGTGACTTTAAGTGAAACGGTGTTAAGCAAATCCAATTTCCCCATACAAATTATGGGGGGGGGGGGTAGGACATTTTTTTCACCAGACAAAAGGCTATATATATATATATATATATATATATATATATATATATATATACACACACACACACACACACAATATAAGTTTTAAACAAACAATTTAATACTGTATACAGCAATGATGATTGTGAAGCTTGGTTGAGGTGGTGAAGTCAGAGGGTGGGATATTTCCCAGGGAATGCCTTACTGCTAAATGATGAACTAGAACAGCTGAGCCCTCAAGGGTTAACACATTGTTGTTAATGTAGCCTCACACTCTACAAGGCAGCACAAATGGAGGGAGGGGAAACAGCATGGCAGACAGAGACACACACCCTGTGTGTGAGAGAGAGATGTGCATTGCCCCTTTAAGTACGCTGAGTGCACTCTAAGTACATTGCCTTTTTAAGTAGATCAGCAAGTTGAAACAGCAGTTGCTACCAGCAAGCTCCCTCAGTCGTGAGCCCTCTCATGTCCCCCACCCCCACTATATGGAGATGGGGTAAGCGGGAGGCAGGAACAGGGGGGAGAGGGACACCCTGACATTAGCCCCCTGCACAGCAAGCAGGAAGCTCCTGGGAGCAGCTCCAAGGCAGAGGGCAGGAGCAGCACATGGCAGTGGCGGGAGGGACAGCTGAATTGCCGGCAATTGATAGCCTGCTGGGCAGCTGCCGCACAGGGAACTTAGGGGAGTGGGGAGCTGATAGCGGGGCTGCCGGTCCACCCTGGTTCCAAGCCCCCACCAGCTAGCTGCAACAGGCTGCTCTTCCTGCAAGCAGTGGACAAAGCAGGCAGCTGCCAAACAACGTTATAAAGGAGCATTGCACAACTTTAAAAGAGCATGTTCTCTCATTGATCAGCAACATAACAACGAAACAATGTTAATTGGGACAACTTTAAGTGAGAAGTTACTGTATACTAACTTCAATAACAACACAGAATACAAAGTGTACACTGCTCACTTTATATTTATTTTTGATTATTTTGATTACAAGTATTTGCACTGTAAAAAAACAAAATAAATAGTATTAGGTAAATTGAAAAATACAAGTACTGTAGTGCAATCTCTTCATCATGAAAGTTGAACTTGCAAATGTAGAATTATGTAAAAAAACCTGCATTCAAAAATAAAACAATGTAAAATTTTGGAGCCTGCAAGTCTACTCAGTCCTACTTCTTATTCAGCCAAACACTCAGACAAACAAGTTTGTTTACATTTGCAGGAAATAATGCTGACCACTTCTTGTTTACAATGTCACCTGAAAGTGAGAATAGGCATTCGCAAGGCACTGTTGTAGCTGGCGTCGCAAGATATTTACATGCCAGATGCCCTAAAGATTCATATGTCCCTTCATGCTTCAATCACCGCTCCGGGGGACATGCATCCACGCTGCTAACGGGTTCTGCTCGATAACAATCTAAAGCAGTGTGAACCGACGCATGTTCATTTTCATTATTTGAATCAGATGCCACCAGCAGAAGGCTGATTTTTTTTTTTTTTTTTGGTGGTTCGGGTTCTGTAGTTTCTGCATCAGAGTACTGCTCTTTTAAGACTTCTGAAAGCGTGCTCCACACCTCATCCCTCTCAGATTTTGGAAGGCACTTCAGATTCTTAAACCTTGGGTCAAGTGCTGTAACTATCTTTAGAAATCTCACATTGGTACCTTCTTTGCATTTTGTCATATCTGCAGTGAAAGTGTTCTTAAAATGAACAACATGTGCTGGGCCATTATCCGAGACTGCTATAACATGAAATATATGGCAGAATGCGGGTAAAACAGAATAGGAGACATACAATTCGCCCCCCCCCCCAAAGAGTTCAGTCACAAATTTAGTTAACACATTATTTTTAACAAGCCTCATCAGCATGGAAGCATGTCCTCTGGAATGGTGGCCGAAGCACGAAGGGGCATACGAATGTTTAGCATATCTGGCACATAAATACCTTGCAATGCCGGCTACAAAGTGCAATGCAAATGCCTGTTTCTAACTTTCTAGTGACACTGTAAATAAGAAGCGGGCAGCATTATCTCCTGTAAATGTAAACAAATGTGTTTGTCATAACGATTGGCTGAACAAGAAATAGGACTGAGCAGACTTGTAGGCTCTGAAGTTTTACATTGTTTTGTTTTTGAGTGCAGTTATGTAACAAAAAAATCTACATTTGTAAATTGCACTTTCACGACAAAGAGATTGCACTGCAGTACTTGTATGAGGTGAATTGAAAAATACTATTTCTTTTGTTTATCATTTTTACAGTGCAAATATTTGTAATAAAAATAATATACATTTTGATTTCAGTTACAACACAGAATACAGTATATATGAAAATGTATAAAAACATCCAAAATATTTAATAAATTTCAATTGGTATTCTATTGTTTAACAGTGCGATTAAAACTGTGATTAATCGCAATTTAAAAAATTAATCCAGAATAATTTTTTTTAGATAATTGTGTGAGTTAACTGTGATTAATCGACAGCCCTAATTATATATTTAATTACTACATAAAAGCCATATTCTACCCTTAATTGTGGGCGTGGGGGGGAAGAGTAGAGAGCCCTAAAATTATAGCCCAGCCCACAGACTATAATTAAAAACAGAATTCAGCCCTCTTCACCAAATAGGCTTGGCACCACTGCTTTAAACAGAACTACCAATTTCTTAATACAAGGTTGAATTAAAGGTTTATATAAACTATACAGCAGATTGTCACTGTTTTATCATTATTGCTATAAATTACACACAAAATGATAATATTAATCTTTTGTTCAGTGTCTCTTTGAGAAATTACAATCACATCTAAAGAAATTGTGACAGAACAGATGCAGTACAAACAAATCCAAAGTACCTCCTAATAGCTGGTTTTAATTAAAATCCTCTTAGAAGCAGACAATCTTATTTTTAACACAGGCAGAAACCTCTAGAGGTTTTATAGGATGCAAGTAGCTCACGATGGCAGGTCCCTTCCCCCAAAGTTATGCTGGTTTCGAATGGAGGGAATGCACAGGAGCAAAGTCTGTAAAGAGGGCAGTTGTGATGGTGGGAAATGGCAGAAACCTGCTCTCCACCAGGTAGCACAGCGTTAATAGTGGGTGGCACTGCTATAATGAAGGCATGACCAAGGTGGCTGGGAACACACTGATTCAGTGCACCCCCACTGAGAGCACTCCCATGGAGTCCCTGATGGATTTTAGAGTTGCCCAGACTGGCAAAAATTCTAGGGAGGGTGATGGAGGAAACAGTACCATGCTCCAGCCCTGACTGCATCTGGTACTTTCCTGCTCTAGGCAGAGTGAATCTGGCTCAAATATGCCAAAAAACCCCCAACTGCCCGTGATTTGAACTCTGTGCAGAACTCTGCAGCTTACATCAGAATGGGAAAAAGCCTACATAACCGCTAGGTCCTGTGTTTGTTTTTACTGGTGCAATGCTCATGAAACTGAGCAACTAACACAGCTGTGAAGCCAAGCACAGGGAGGGCAGGTATGTGCGGCATTGTCAATCCACTTCAGTCCCTACCTGCAATATCCCCCACTCTTCCAGTCTTCAACTGTTTTTAAGCAGAAACATCCTATTATACCCAAACATATGCTGGCTTTGTGATATAAACAAATGCCCTAATTAATTATTCTATGTGACCTAAAACTCAGAATTTATAGCTAGGTCTCTGACAGTGAAAGGCTAGAACATTAACCCAGTGTGTCATTCCAACTGGTGTGTTTCACAGGTCTGCCAATTATAGTCGAGGTACCGTATATGGTTGGGCACTGAATTGCACTTTTAAGGACTTACTTTCATTTCACTATGGAATGCATGTCTGAGTCTGCTTCTGAACATTAGTGAAACAGTGAATTTGTGTCAATTTCACTTAATTGTTCATTTTGAATTCATATAGTTTACAGAACACAACAGCAAAAAAGTATTAGAATTCAGGAAAGCAATTTTGGAAAATAAAGGAATCCAGCCTGTGGGGTATGGAGGAGGGAGTAGAAGAGTTTTCACAAACTCACTGAGTTTGTATCTTGGAGATTATGAACAAGAAGTGGTCACAGTAGGCAGAGAGTGACAGTGACCATGGATACTGAAGAGCCTACAATGTCAAAGGCTGCAGAGTGAAAAGGATAAAGGAGTATAAGACAGAAGAAGAGGCTTTTAGACAATCAGCAGCTGGTCATTAGAGACCTCTGTAAAACCAATTTAAATGGAATAAAGGGGGTAAAAGCTAAATTATAGGAGATACATGGGGAGTTAGAAGAAGAACATAAAAATTGCCATTCCAGCCCAGAGCAGTGCTCTGTCTAGTTCAGTATCCTGTTACAGACAGTGAACAGTTCCAGATGTTTCAGAAGGTGCAAGAAACACATTAGTGTACAGTTGTGAAATAAACTACCCATAGGGGAAATCAGTCACAGGTTGGCTTATGCCAGGATACATAAGAGTGTCACATTCATTCTAAAAAAGAATTGTATCCTAGCTAATGTAACTAGAGATGTTTTTATTATCTGTATAAATGTCCAATCACTCTGAATCCTGACAAGATTTTGACTTCACTCTTGTGGCGGTGAGTTCCACAGGTCGGCTATACATTGTGTAAAATGGTTATTTTCTTCTCTGTTTTAAATGTGTTGCCTTTCAACTTCACTGACTATCCCCTTAACCTTGAATTATGAAACTGGGTATATTTACCTTCTCGTTATTTTGTATACTTCACTGTTATGTACACTCTTATTCATCTCCTCGCTAAACTAAGCGCTCTCAATCTTTTCAATCTCTCCTCATGAAGAACCTTCTCCTGGCCACTAATCCTTTTTATTGTCCATCCATTGTCCCTTTCTTTTGAATACTTCTTTTTTGAGACAGGATGACCAGAACTGATAAGAGTATTCTACGTGTGGGCACAGATAGATTTGAGTAATGGCATTATAATATCTTCAGTATTATTTCCTCTCTCATTATCTGTACAGCCTAACACTGTTTGTTTGGGGGTTTTGTTGTTATTGTTTTTATTTTGACAGCTGCTACACACTGAGCAGACCCTTTCACTGACCTTTACACAATAATTCTTTCTCCTAAAAGTTTGTTAATTTAAAAATCAAGGTTGCATAACTAGACAGCTTGATCGGTGGGGCTGGAGGGGAAAAAAAGGAAGGAAGGAGAAGTGTTTTTTTTCTTCTTCATGTTTAGGTGAGAAAAAGCATGTATTAAGGCTAATGGGAAGGAGCAGATAAGGAGATAGAGAAAAAACAACAACTGCACTTTATCCTATAAACTTTTAAAACTGTAACAGAGCAGCAAATATTTAAACTAATCAAATATAAAAAAAAATTACATGAAAACTATACAGATTTCCTGGGCAACATCCTGATAATAATTTAGTACAATATAAATCTAGAGCAACTCAATCAAAACCAGTAGAATCACTCCAGATTTCACCTGTGTGAGACAGATCTGGGTCCTCTACTACACATTTTTCTTAAGACAGAAAGAATAGACTGGCTCTGCATGAATTCAGAATAATATAATATAGATGGACTAGTTAAAATACTCAAAGTATTCCAGTTTCCAGACAGACTAAATATAAAATGGGAGGAGTAATTTTCAAATGATTTTTTTTGGAAAACCAAATAAAAAACCAAGCCAAAAATCTTACATTTGGCCCTCTTGATCCTGGAATTCTGGGTTCACTCAACAAACTGATGCTCCCTGATCCTTCCATGTCCTATAGTGAAAGAGGAAAGAATCATAGAACATTATATTTTACACTCACAGCCATTTTATATCAGGACTTCCTCTTGAATCTTAAAAAGCAAAGACATTGAAGAAAAACCAAACATACTTTAAATTCTTCTCCAAAACCATTTTTCTATCAGTTCACTGCTAAGTATTAGAGGTGAGCGATATTCAAATGTGGGAACAGCACATTGATCCTTTGTGCCAATCGAGAACCTCGCAGAGTGATAGGTTTGTCAGTTTATCAACCTTCCGCATGATTTCACATTCAAAAAACAGGAGAACAGAGCGAAAGTAACTTTCCATTTTCAAGAGTACTTTGTACTACTTTAAATTCTGGTGTAGGTTTTGTGTTTTGTCATTTAACTATCTCATAGCATTATGCTGCTTTGTATAGCTGTGCGTACTGTAATTACTTTTCAAAGCTAAATTGCTTAAACATTTATATCTGTTCTGGCAAAGGAGGCTCTGGAGGCATTTTGCCAAGCAGCCTAATTGTGATTCAAGAACTAAAGTTATTTCTTCCCCTCACAATTGAACATTGGGCTCCTGCCTGCAATTACTGTGGATGCAAAAGGCGATTCACATGGATCACTGAAATGAGCATGAGCTGGGAACAGCAATGTCCATACATGGGGAAAGGCTCTCTGAAGCAGAGGGCAGATCTCTATTACCAGGAAATGTGCATTTTCTTTATATACATGCCAATTCTTTTACAACCGTGGAGACTGCAACACTCTTTCTCAATCTGTTTCTACCTCGCTTACACACCACACCATCAGGGCAGAAAAGTAAGGCTGAATGCTGCAGAGCCTTCTTTTCCTTCTTTCTACAAACTGTAAGTCAAAGTGCATCAAATACCAAATGAAATATCTGTTGAGATTATGAGCTTTGAACTGTTTAGCTGTTTGCTCACTTCCCAAGGTGAGTGCACTTGTGTTGCATGTTCCTTCACCTTGCCTCCGTTGCGCTTTAATTGGTCTCCTTGTGGCAATATTTTTCCATCAAAGAGAGTGCCTAATGCCTGTTTTATATAACACACTGTCAGTTTTGACACTCATGTGTTTTTAATAGGTTTACCAGGTACCCTCTGCAATACAGACTGTTCTTTTGGCAAGCACAAGGGCCAGCAAACCCGGTCTCTTTCTTTCCCCAGTGCAGCTCAGCTTTGGCACATAATTAATAACAGCTGCTATCAAGTGCTGAAAGCAGTGCTTTGCAGAAGAGACATGCTTAGGGCAATAAACAGATTGCCAACCAAACGCTAGCATTGCCCTAATGAAACTGGCATACCAACTTGAGAACAGGAACAGCATTGTCTTCAGGTGGCAGAAGCAGGAATCAAAATGATCATGTAGGATCAGCAAGTCTATTCCTAGATGGGATTTCCATCTAGAAATGGGGAAAGGACAGTCATCCTGATCTTCCTGGCTTATGATTAAACAAATACAGTTCTGCTATTCCAGCTCAGAGCTGGCTGGCCAATTTATGTTGTTGGAACCAGCCCTTCCTACGCCTCTGTATGTTGCCAATGCAATGGGGCCCCGATCCTGATTATCTCCTGCAATTCTGGCAACTTCACACCACTCAGACTTAGGGGGAGCAAAATGGCAAAATTTGGCCCTAATTGGCTAGCTGCAAATTCCCTCTGCACAAGAGACCTCTCAGCTGGGCTAGAGGGGCAAAGCTGGCTTCTATGTCAACTACCCAGGGGCTATGATGGGGGTGGGACAGAGCACCCCCACCCTTCACCGGCTCTCAAGGGGTTGATGGTCCTAGTTCCTAGCTGGAGTTCCTAGTTACCTGGCATAAGGCAGAGCCCCTCCTAGGGGCTCTGACTTATGTTGGGGTTTGGACCATGGCTGGCCATAACTGGCTCCTAACTGTCCTCATCCCCTCCTGAACCACATGGTTCCCTAGTAACAAATACAGTGGTGCTCCTTAAAAACAAATGAATTGCTTGAGATATCTACTGGCCAGATTCTGGTATCTTTATTTTGGTTTAGTAGCACCTTAGTCCATGAATAGTTACATTGACTTCAACAGAATTACTTGGGGAGTAAGGTGTGAATAAGGGTATCAGAAATTGTCTTTAAATAAGCACTGGCAGTTACATAACCTCCATATTTAACATATTCAATGTATTTCCTAGAGTAAGTATAGGGAAGTATAAAGGAACAATGCAAACACTGAGGGAACCATATTTATATATCTCAGATAAAACTGGCAAGTTCTAAAGGTCCCCACTCTATCCTGGATAAGATGTTTGCAATTGTCAGCCAAACACTGTTTATTCCTCGCATAAAGTTAATCTTGGTTACTAGTCTGATGTATATTATGTCCCATACAGAAAAAAATTAGCTAGAGAGCCTCTCTCGAACTGACCAGCCAAACAGTAGATGAAAAACACAAACAGAGAGAGAGAGGGTGACCCATACATGGGCATAGATGGAGGTTAAATGCCAACCTTTTAACCTTAGCAAAAATATGGATGTTTAAAACCCTACCAAAGCCAGATCCTCTACCCCAAGTCTGCCAGAAAGGGAAGACAGAATTTACCTCAGTATGTTTCACTCACAGTGCTGAGATTCAGCTATTTTTCTGCACTATGAACTGTTTTCAGATAAAGGACTGAACTGAGCCCTAGGTGAGTTCAAATTTTAGAACAGAGGAGGCACTATATGCATAAATAAAATGTAATGTCTCAATTTTCAAACTTCATTTGTTTGGTTTTGTGAGAAAATGTTCCTATTGAGGATTACACTGCATGAGGTCACTACCAAATTTCTGCATTTTATGTCTTTCAGGCTTACATAACTGACCTGCCTAAACCAAACTTATGGCCTCTAAAATGATAGCATGTGAAAACTGGCATGTTAAAGCAGAACCTGAAGCTCAGGTTTAATGCGCAACAGCAGCTGTCATCATATCTTTAAGTCTACTCTATAAATTATTTACACACTAAAATAAACTACTAAAACGGTTGTGAAAACTGTGTGATAAGAGCTTTAGCTTATAGCACAACAACAATTCTGTTGTTGGCATTAAGATCACAGAATATTTGTATAAAAAGTAACTTAAAGAAAGCAATCAGCCATGAACAATAATTACAGCCAAAGAGAGGGCTAAGTTCCACTGAGATAAAAACAGTGAACAACTTATCTGTAGATTGGGAGAAAATAAAGTAAACCTGAAGAGAAACTTTATGGACAGTATTCAGTGTGATAAAACTTGTCTTAAAGATAGTTAGACAGGAAAAGCGTTAATGAGCATGCTGTCCTTCCATTGAAGCCAATAACTTTGCATCTACAATTTTAATAGAAGAGCACCTCAAATCCAAACCCATAGCCTGGGCCAGGTGGCCCCGGTGGGCCAGGTGGTCCTTGAGGTCCAGGCTTTCCAGGCTGCCCATCAGCACCTGCCTGACCTTCTGGGCCTGGTGATCCAATATCTCCAGCATCTCCCTAAAGCAAAAGGGCAACAAATGATTTTACTGAACGATTATAACACGTAGATGTGATTACAGGATTTGTTTGACTGAAAATTATGTTCACTGATTTAATTAGGTTGCAGAATAATAATCTTCTGGACTTCTTCCACCCAAGGATCTCAAAGCACTTTTCAAAAATTATTGAATTAAGATTTGCAACATCCTTGTGATGTAGGGTTCACCTCGTTTTATAAATGGGAAATGGAGACAATGAGAGGTGAAGTCATTTGCCCCAACAAAGCAGGTCAGTAGCCAGAGTTGGGAATAGAACCCAGGTCCCCTGAATCTCAAGCCCCAGGCAAAAAAATATTGAAATATTACAAATATTCATTTTGTTAATCTGTTTTATCTTGGCTTTCTTTCAACTGTTTTTAGGAAACTTTTGATAGGCAGAATACAATGCCAAACTATGTGTGACACACTATACTTGAAAGATGTTGTTATGCTATACTTCAAAATAAACAAAGCTTGATCCTTTTACCTTTGGGCCAACTGCACCAGGAAGACCTTGATCACCCTGTAAAATAAAACCAGTGTCAGTTAATTGAACAGGATTAAATGATTTAGGTATAGAGAACACAGATATATGCTCTGCTTAATTCAGGTTTCAGTGAATACCTTTGTTGTTGAATTTATTGAGGTCATAATGCTGGTTTATAATAAGCATTAAAGCTGCTGGTTAAAAAAATCCAACCTTCAGCCGAGTAGTTACATCTGCAAATGACTAGCGCTTCCAGTGTGGTTTGCAGACAGGAAGCAATCTAGTATTTTGATTATTGCAGCAGGTTTTAGAGGTTTGGACCACACAGAATCAAATATCAAGGATGAAATCTTCACCTCATTGAAGTCAATGGGAAAATTCTCATTGAATGCAATGGGAGCAGGATTTGATCCCAACCAAATTGTAAGTATGGCCCAGTCAAAGAATGCTAACATTGCTACAGATGTTTTTATGGTTCCACTGTGGTAATCTAGCAACCTGATTTTCTTATACACACTCAATCTGTGACAAATCTCTGTTTGAAAGGGATATAGGAACCTTAATAAACAAGCAGAGTTCCTGTATTCGGTGTTCTCTGAATGGCACAGGTCAGACACTGCAAATGTCAGCCTGCCTATGTACTCTACAATGGATTGACATCAATCTGTTCTCCTACCTCACTCTGCTTTTACTGAAGCCTCTCTCACACTCTCCATCTCTTTTCCTTGCCATTCTCTTTCTATTCAGTTTACAGAATAGCCAGAAACCCAGAGTATGAAAACAGCTATTTTTTCCCATTCACACTAACTGAATTAATAGCAATACATATAATAGTTGGCCAAATACTATAGCTCCTACACAAACAGACAATGGAAATTTTGACCATATGAGCCCTCAACAGATAGAGTAAGCACCAATGATAAAACAATAGCAGACAAAGAATGATTTGTTAGAAAAAGGAACGACAGGAAGCATGTAAAACTACTCTCGACAGGTGGGAATGGATTTGGCAGACTTGCTGTGCACTGACTGTTCTTTGAGCAACTGCAGCGTGCAGAGTGCTTCATTTATAATTTAATTCTTATCAAATACATACAGTGTGGAAAATAGGCTCCGAAAGACAAGACAACTGGCCTTATCCCTCTTTCTGAGGAACGTGCTCTGAATGAAAATGGCATTCTTCCAATTAACCCCTCTCCCCTCCAGACTTTCACCCTAAAATCTGAGATGCAGCTTAATTTAGTTTACTGTAACCAGGCATCTTTATTCTTCTCAGGACCCTCCCAAAGGAACTGATCTTGTCCTACTGAAGTCAATGGGAACTTTACCATTGACTACAAAGGACACAAGATCAAGCCCTGAGCTCTGGAACAAGGAACTTATTTTAACTCTCTCTGGTCCATGTTGGCTCGGTGTGGGAATCACTGGAACAGCCACACAGAGGGGGCCTGAGCACCCCATTTGTACCACAGTACTGCCAACCCGAAGTATTCAAAACTCGTGAATCAGCCTCAACAAAATCATGAGACTGGCTTAAATATCCTGAGATTTTTTAAAGAAAATATTGGGGTTCTTTTTCTTTGCCTTCTGGTTTTTGAGCCTTTAGGGTGCACTTAGGTCCCAGTTTCCAGATTCTCTCTGCAACAATAAGGGCCAGAAACTTACTTGATTTTAATGAAAACAGAGATTCTCATGCAATCACTTGACTCCAGTAGCACAAGCTTTAAGAAAACAACAAATACTGCAACACTCATGACAAAATTGCAAATGTAGGCAACATTAGCACCATATAGGTGGTTTACACCTGCCCTCACATAGGCCAGGGCAGAAGGAGAAGATGAGAATGGACTATAGAATCCACAATTTAGTAGTTCCAGTGACCCTAGCGCCCCACAAAAATGCAGTGGAAGATCCGCAGCAGGGAGCTGTGCTGCAGCTATAGGCCACTCTTGGCTGGAGGGGTGGATTTCACCCGCCCCATGTACTTTACTTGCATAAACCCAATTATTACTCTGCCTTTCTATGGATGAATTACATGGAATTGTTGTATATTATCTATTGAAAAAAATAGGACTGGATGCAACAGGACATTATAAGGTTGTTCAAACAGCCATTTGAGATGTTTTAACAAGCATTAGGAGCTGGATTCAGTAAACTATTCAGGGCTTCCTCCAGCTCAGAAGTGACGAAGATTTTATGCAGAACTCGGACCTTAGATTTTTAACTTACTTTTTCTCCTTTCTTTCCAGGAGGGCCAACCATTCCATCAAGTCCAGGATGTCCTTGGGGCCCCTGCGAATGATAGTAGATATAAGCACCTGCCCCAATCACAAAGAAAATACCCTGCCCAAATGACTTTATTTGAACTAATACAACTTAAAACAAATAAACTCTAATATGCCTTAGTAACCTTCTACTCTAGTGATTTGTATTTCTGAGTTTTCATTTCTGACGTGTTGGTCTCTATGCAACTGAAGAGTGACACTAATACTTAATGAGAAACAACGTTCATGTAAGGACTGAGATTGCTTGCTATTATGGTCATGATTCTGCTTTTCTTGCAATCAGCAAGAGGTTTAAGTGTTTGAGGAGTGCAGGATCCGGTCTGATGTCTACTTGGAAATGTTGGCATCTCTACTTCATGGGCCAGATCCTGGATCCCAGCTCTTACCCCTTTCCACCACAGTGACAGTGCCAACAGGGTGGAGAGCCACCCTACCAGGGCACTCTGGGATTCCCCTGACGTCAGGGAATCTTTGGATGGCACAGAACTGGTAAAAAGCCCATTTACAACTATTTTTTTTTAATACAGGAAATTGGACAGAAAAAAACCCATAAGCAGCATTCCTGAGAGGACCGTGGCTGTGGCCACAGAGGAAGAGGATGGGGTTGGAGTGTGCAACACTCTAGCCATCTCCAGCTGGCGGAGTGATCATTCTAGCCAATATAATGTAGAGCTTCCCTTAGGCTCTTTTCCCTGTTCCCAACCCCCACAGTTGGGGGGTCTGCTCCCACAGACAGGCCCAATACATGTTAAGTGAAACTGGAGGGGGCTCCTGGAGAAAGGAAGAAAGAAGAATGGGGAAGGGAATTTGGGGGCCCTTGTGAATGGAACTGAGATGCAGGAAGAACTGTGGGGAGAGGAAAGGAGAAACAAGAGAGAACAAAAGAGAACAGGGAAAAAAGGGGAAACTCAGGCTAGGTCTACACTACAGCAGGGGTCCGACCTAAGATACGCAACTTCAGCTACGTGAATACCGTAGCTGAAGTTGCGTATTTTAGGTCGGCTTACCTGGCGGTGAGGACGGGGGAAAGCCGACCGCTGCTGCGCTGCCGCCGACTCCGCTGCCGCCTCTTGCCGAGGTGGATTTCCGGAGTCGACGGCAGAGCGATCAGGGATCGATTTTACCGCGTCTTCACTAGACGCGGTAAGTCGATCCCCGATAGACCGATTGCTACCCGCCGGATCGGCGGGTAGTGAAGACATACCCTCAGCCACACAATGTAAAGGAGAAAGAAGGGTCAGACATGGGCAAGCACAGAAGAGACAGCAGAATACAGAATGGGAAAGGGGATGGGGGGAGGAAGAATAAAAAAATAGAGAGGAGGAAAGAGGTTTCAAAAAGAAACAGAGCCAGATAGAGAATGATAAAGGAAATCATTCGGGGGAGGGAGGACCCATAGGTAGAGGGAAAGAATTAAAAGCTACACAGTGGCAGACTGGAACTCTCAATCTGTGGGGCCCTTGCTCTGTGCTCAGATCACGATGAGACCTTTCCTAGACTTGAAATTCTATTTCCTCCTCCATCTTCTAGTCTTCACAAATATGTAACATATTATAGGCAGCCCAGAATAGTGCCACCTATACTGAAGGTTATAAGTTTTGGAGTTGGGACTTGAAATTTGGCAAGGGGGTTGTCCTGGTGTCAAGGATGTGCCTTTTGCCAGCCCCATTAAAGCGTTTCCGAATTGTGGAAAAACAAACAGCCAAAAATGTGCTATATGCATAATGTATTCTTGAATGCAGAAACTCACGAGCGCAAAGCACATTTATGGCATACGCTTTCACTGAATGGTCAACATTGTCTGGCAAGAGAGGTGTACTAAGCACCAGCCTACTTTTAAATGATTCTATACAACTACACCAACAGTTCCAGGCATTCTAAGCTGACTATAAATAAACCAGCAGATGAGATCAAAAGATGAGTGGGCTCTAGCAAAGGAGCTAGTTTGCTAAATCAGCTTTCAGATAACACACAACATTCGCTTATTACACTGCTCTACAGCCAAAATGCTTCTGAAATAAATGTAGTCAAACTTTACTAATTCTGGGTCACTGAGAATGAAAATGATGCTTAAAATTGTTGATTGGCTCTAGTTTTCAAGATATGCTATTGGGTCAGTATATACGACCCTTGACTTGGGAATGGCGGAGGATAAGTGAGTTATAAAGGGAAGGGATCTCAATTTAAACCAGAAATGACTAAAATACATCTTTGACTGGATCTATGAATAAATCTATGACTGGGTTTGGACAGTACTTGCTTTTTAGGCAAAACAATGAAGGATGCAATCTGAAGCTGGTATTGCGTCATACATGATATGAATTGCATCATGTTATTCCTAGAAGTCATGGATGATGCAATCATAACGAAGCTTACATCACTCTGCTGAACAAATTGCCCTATATCAGCTCTAGAAATCATACAGTGTTGTGCTCTCTTGTCAGTGTTTGATTTTGCAAAGGGACACATTTCTGTTTTGCCAAAGTGAGCAGAGATGCCTCGTACTTGTGTGAACAGTGCAGATAACTTCTGCTATGTTTTTGTGGTGAAGTGACTTTTGCATCACAAAAGCGCAGTATAACCACTATGGTTAAGAAAGCCTATCACCTTTATTTTGGCTGCAAAATTGGAGATCAGGACAAGAGGTGGGCCCCACACATATGCTGCAACACTTGTGCAACAAATCTTCGCCAGTGGTTGAACAGGAAAAGGAAATCTATGCCTTTTGCAGTGCCAATGATTTGGAGAGAGCCAACAGATCATACCAGCAATTGTTACTTCTGCATGGTGCCTCCAGTTGGGAAAGGTGTGTCAAAGAAGAAAAAGTGGACTGTGCATTATCCAAACATTCCATCAGCTATACGCCCAGTACCCCATGGAGAAGGACTGCCGGTTCCTCATGCACCAGAATCATTCTCACTTGAGTCAGACGAGGAAGAGGAAGAGGATGAAACTTCTGGTCCTGAACCATCAATGTCACAGGACCCACATTTTCTCCCATCCTCCTTCTCTGAACCACACCTCATAACACAAGGTGAACTGAATGACCTTGTCAGGGATTTGGAACTACCCAAGAGTAAGGCAGAGCTGTTGGGCTCCAGACTACAGCAGTGGAATCTCCTGGCAGGTGATGTTAGGATTTCCATGTTCCGTGACCGTCAAAAGGATCTTGTCCCATTCTTCTTCATGGAAGGTGATCTTGTAGCCTGCAACAACATCGATGGTGTGATGGCAGCCCTCAACATCGTTCACGATCCAGATGAGTGGAGACTGTTCATTGATTCATCGAAGACGAATCTTAAAGCTGTTTTACTGCATAATGGCAATGTTTTGCCATCAGTTCCAGTTGGTCATGCAGTCCATATGAAGGAAACCTCTGACAACATGAAACAACTTTGGAGGTGCATAAACTATGACCAACATCAGTGGCAGCTTTGTGGCGATTTGAAGGTTGTTGCTCTCTTGCTTGGTCTGCAGACTGGATACACAAAGTACTGCTGTTTTCTCTGCGAATGGGATAGTCGTGCAAGAGATTCCCACTACATCAAGAAAGACTGGCCACTCCGACAGTCATTGGAGCCTGGGAGGAAAAGTGTTCAGCATCCACCACTTGTTGAATCAAGGAAGATTTTGTTACCACCCTTACACATCAAGCTGGGTCTGATGAAGAACTTTGTCAAGGCCATTGACAAAACACAAGCAGCTTTCAAGTACCTCCGTGGAAAATTTCCAAGGTTAAGTGAAGCTAAGATAAAGGAAGGTGTCTTTGTTGGTCCTCAGATTCGTGAACTTCTTTGAGATGATGCATTTGACCATGCACTGCGTGGCAAGGAAAGACGGCATGGAAAGCCTTCCAGTTAGTGGCAATAAATTTTCTCGGAAACAACAAGGCAGACAACTACAGGTTGTTGGTGGAAAACCTCCTCAAGGCATACAAAAGCCTTGGTTGCAACATGTCACTAAAGATACATTTTTTGCACTCTCATCTAGATTTTTTTCCACCGAACTGCGGAGCAGTGAGCGACGAGCACGGCGAGCGATTTCACCGGGACATTGCAACAATGGAGAAACGCTATCAGAGCAAAGGGAGCCCATCAATGCTTGCAGACTATTGCTGGACAGTGACAAGAGATGCTCCATTTAATGAATACAAGAGACAAGCCAAGAAGCGCCGAGTAGACACTGAATAGGACTAAACTATGTACATAATAGTTTTTTGCCTTTTGTTTCATAATACATTTTATTTATATAACCCTTTTGCTGATTTTTAAAGTGTTACATAAACAGGACAGGTGAAATATTATCATGTAAAGCAACCATAAACACATGAAAAGACCTAGGTTTACAATTTATGATTCAAACTCTACTATCTACACAATATACATAGACATAAAATGTAAAAACTTAAATATCTTAAAAACAGTAGCCAATCAGTTGTTTTAATTGTCATATTTGAATTCAGCACATCAAAATACATAATAAATAGCACATTTTATCTCTGAAGCAGACGACTTCTCAAAAATTGTAGACCAGTGTTATCAGCCTTTGAAATTTTTCACTATGCACCTGCTCAGAGAGACTTGTTAAGAGTTTGGTAGCTAAACTCCCCAGAGATTCTGTCTGTAGTGAGCGTGTTCAAGCCCAGGGCTGCAGGAAGTGAGCAGGAATTTCCCTATAATTCCTCTTTAGGGCTGCTGCAGGCCACTGTGGTGCTGGGCAACAGAACTCAGGGCAGGGAGACTGTCTCTCCAGTGCTCACAATCAGGATGGCTCTGTCCCCTTCTAGTGGGGGCTGGGCCACATGTAGAGATTGATGAGCCTGCTACAGTCACTGCTGAGGAGCCACCCAGGGGTGCAACATTTCAAGCGGCAGCCTGTACACGGAATTGAGATTGTGATAGAGCACAAAATGTGGCAAGTGGTTTCCAAATGTAACACTGCACCATGGAGTGCGTTGTCAGCAACAAATGAAGGAGGCCCTGCACCCCAAATGTTATTACATTTGTC